CTCTCTAGCCAATCAACCACCAGCTGCAGTAAAAAACATTTTAATCTCAATATTGTTTCAGTAGAATGAAGTCCAAAAATTTGCAAAATGAGCAAAGATTCATCTTTAAGTTAAATTCATATTCAAAAATACTTTATGGATCCTAAAGGTAAATTTAATAAAATATAAAAACTTGAGTTTTCTCTAGAATCAGGACTGACCATCTTTCCATAACATGAAGAACTGAACCGTTCATAATATTCTGAATAAACTGAACATTTTAATTTTCTCATTAGTACATTTAGACACCTGTTTTTTCAGCAAGTTAATGATTAATCGATTACTAATTTCATTAATCGATTCATTGTGATTAATGCAATTAACTGTTTGAGTCTTAAATGATTTGTTGTTGCATCTTAGGCAGTAAAATGTTCAACTCAATAGATTTCTTAATATTTTTTAATATTGCATAAAATAAGCTTAAGTGGTAAAATAAAAAACATGCAGAATGTGCCGTTTCTTGCGCGTTACCTGGCTCTGTCGAACGATGGCGTCTCTCTGGAAAAGTTGCTCCACAACAACCTTCTCACTTTCACTGGGAACCTGCAGACAAAAACTAAAAATCTCATCTTTTCTTCAGATGCATCACAACGTTTTCTGACATGTTTATTGTTCAAACGTGACGGCGGTTAACAAAATTAACGCTGCATGAAGAAAGAAGTAATAGAAATGACTTCTTCCTATTTTTCTTCCAAATTCAGGAATTCTTCTAATCTTGCAGCTTTTGCCTCATTTTTAATTTTAAAAAACTTCCACTTACAACCATGTCGATCATCATGTCCTCCTCCAGCGCCAACTGGACCCGATCCCTGCAGAATCAGACCCCAGGTTAATTTAAAAAGGAGACGAAGGCGGAATGAGGGGGTTGGATGGATACCTGTAGAGAGAGGCGATGAGCCTCCAGGTGCAGTTCTCCTGCTGCAGCAGCCAGCGGACGCCCGCCGTCTTACTGTTCTGACCCGCTCGCAGCACCACGGACTGCAGAACGTTCACCTGCAACAGAACCAACATCAGGTTCTGTCTTTATTCATCAAAACGCAGCCAGGAATTTAGACTTTTCATACTCTATTTAAAACGATACCTAAACTTCATAATCCATTTTAGTTATTGTTGTTTTAGTTACAGTGTTAAATGTTCTTTAGAAATTAAAGTAATTTTTTTTTTATCTTATTGTCGGTATAATTGCATTAATATTACTATTTTAGTTCAATATGATATCCAACTGTTTCGTCACTGTTTATCACAATCATTTATGGGATAATGTAATAGAACTATAGCTGGAAAACGTATCATATCAGTCGATATTAGTAATTATTGATTCGTTTTTTGTTGTAAATTTCATTTGGTGCGGCGTTTCCTGTTTTATACAGTTTTTCTCTCCATTCTTTTTATTTTTATGCTGTTTTGTGGCAGAACATTAAATTGCTGCTGTGCCAGTTACCCAACAAGTTGTTGCTAGGCAACCAAAGTTGGGGGGGGGGAGGACTTGAAACTGCCAGCAGGTTGTTGCTAGGTAACCAAAGAATTTGTCAGTTAACTGTATCAGACGTCAGCAAATATTCTAAATATCTCATATTTTATCAGATGTATTAACTATTTATTCTGATCACAATAAATCAATAACAATATATCTCTTGATAAATGTGAGATATATTGTTATTGATTTGTCATCCAGCCCTAAATAGAATAAATAAAATGGAAGAAGCAGAACTCCATGGTTCTGTTTCTGGTACCTTCTCCTGGCAGATGTTCTGATAATCCTCCAGCAGCTCAAACACAGCAGAAGAAGAGTGTTTCAGGAAGGAGGCCAGGAACTCTGGGAAAAGACTGGCGGCCACTGAGCCAATCAGAGAGCACGATGTTAAAACGTGACGATCAAAACAACACAGCAGCCAATCGGACAGGAGTACCTCACCATCCTCTCCAGGGTCGTCCTCCTTCAGCAGCGCTGAGCTCAGGTTCGCCTCGTCGTCTCTGAAGAAGCTGCTGCTGTCCAATCCGGAGACGGGGGACATATACAAGCTGTTGGTCCAATCGCTGTCCTCCAAGTTCTGCTCACACGCAAAAAAATTAAATACAAACAAACCCAAATACAAGATGCGCTTCTGAATGCGTGTCTCACCACGTTGTGTCGGGGTGTGTGTGTGTATCGTGGCGTCCGAGAGCCAGAAACCAAAATGGAGGAGACGTCTGGAACTCTGGGAGTGACTTGGAGACAAAAAGACGGGAGCAAAGTTTGGGGTTTAGTCCAACATGAAGTGGTTTGATGGCAAAATAGTTGGACTGGGCTGGGGAATGAAACAAATTTTTTGGTTTTGAAGATTTAATTTTTGGAATATCTGGATTTTTTTTTTCTCCCGCCAATCAACTTTTTGGACCTCCATAGTTCAGTAATGTCAGGGCGGCCATCTTGTTTTGGACTTTGAATACAAGTCAAATTTACAGTGGAGTATTAGGGCCAGGCTAAGATTTTCTTTTTTATAAATAAAAGTTATGATGTTACAAGAATACAGTTGTAATAATACCAGAGTCAAAGTTGTAATTTGAACTTGAAATTTTTCTTGTAATTTTAAGCCATTTTTCTGGTAAATATTTTATCTTAAATATCGTAACCTGACCCTAATACGCCTCTGTGCACCGTCAGAAAGGATGAATTAAAATAAAAATCCCTTTTTGAAAATATTTTTTGTCAATTGTAATTTATATTTTAGAAATTAAGATTGGAAACCATAGCTAGATGGAAAATTCATTTATTTTTAACACATTGCCCAACCCTACGTTGAACTTTGACCCTCACCAGCCTGTCGGTACAGGGAAGCTGGGGTGTTCCTCAGGGAGCGGGCCGGGGTGAACGAGGGGCCGATGGGGCTGGCGCTGGGTGACGGGACTGAGCACAGGGTCAGGAACATAACCCAAACTTTTCTCTAACAAATGATTTCCATGACTAGTTCATTTCAAACCTCCTAAAAAACAGCAGTTAGCAATTGATCAACTAAACAACTGTTCTCAATATGTGCTGCAAAGATACTTAACTATGAGGGACACAAACAGCATTTTAATAACTTTACTGGACTCTGATGTTCTCCAATAGGATCTTTAACCTCTAAACTCCTGATTCACAAACCTGTGATTAAAGGAATCTTAATCATTCAACCCATGTAAAACAAAAATAATCTGTTTTCTCCAGGAACAACAGTCAAAATCAGGAGGTTTTTTTATCTGAGCTCACAAATAAAAGTATTTTTCCTTTAAGGATACAGGCCACTTTCTTCCTCCTGCGGGCGGCGACCGTCACCTCATCATCTCGCACCACCGGAGACGGCAGCTCAGCCTGACCCCTTCAGGACAAAAAGACACATGTTGGTATTCCAGTTGGTATTTTTATTCATCTGATCACTTAAAGTTGTACATTTAAGAGCAAAATATGATGAAATAGTCTATATATGGATGGAGTTAAATGGGTTTTTCATCCACTCAATTTTCCATCATTGTGTTTGTATGCATTGTTCTCTGAAGAGCATGCTCATTCAGCATAGACTTTTTATCATTTACCATCTAGAGAAATAATGTATCGTTTTCTAGACAACTGCCAAGTCAGGTGTGTGCTCAGTGAGCAGATTGGTGCATTTATTAACTCTATTCATGCTTTATATCTGTGTAACTTCATGTTATGATCATGCAACATTAACACCATAAAGTAGTGCTAATGTTGCATAAAGTTTTATAGCGCACTATTTGAGTATGTTAACCCTTGAATAAGTGTCGGTTGCTTCTTAACAGTCGTCTTACTGGGTTTGTAACTCTCATACTTTCTGGAGAACATTCCTAACTAATCTAATTGTTTACATCCAACACGGGTGTGTTTTCAATTCAAATTAAAATATGCTTTATTGATCCCAAAGGGATATTAAATGTTGCTCTTATGGATGCTAGGTTTTAGCAGTGATTGTGCATTGAAATCTGCTTGTCTGATACAGAAAAGTTCTAACATTAAAAATCATTAATTAAAGCGGGTCATCAACTCCGTTATTATTGGTTTTAAAGCTAACCGTCTTTATTCTCTCCATTCTGTTACTCACGTTAATGAATTCATTTTCCCATTTCCAACTATGACCAATTTAAATTAAGTGTAAACAAAATTAGTCTGCTAGCATCAGCATTCACAATGGAAGGGTTAGCATAGTTAGCATAGTTAGCTGCCGCTAAAGAAAACGACGCAGCAAGAAAATGAACACAAGTAGAATATAAAACAAGGAGCAAATTAAACACAACTAAAAAGTTAAAATTGTAAAATGACAAATTTTACCAGTCCATTTTAGAGAGTTGTCAGTTCCCGCTTCACGAGGTTTAGCAGGCTTTCTTCTTCTCTTTTAAACTCTCCGCCAACTGACATGCTTAATACTCTCTTCTGCCCCCTAAGGTAAAGAGTTAGATTGCACCCACACGGAGCCTGTCAAAGCCATTTTTTGAAAGTTAACTTAAGTTTCTTCATGTTTAAATGTTAAAGAATAACAACAGCAATAATTAATTTACTTTTACAGCCCTTTACAATATTCACTGGGCTAAACTAAGTGTTTCACTATGGATAAAAAATAAAATATATAAAGTCAACAATTTTGAAAACCCAGTATCGTTGATTACATTGTGTCAAGTGCCTTCAGTGGGAAATTATTACAATTTGTGTAAAGATTCACTATTTCCTACACCCTCGTGTTTTGCCAGTTGGATGTTTTCATTGGAAAGTAATGAAACATAAACAGATTTAAACTTTATTTTTGAGTTCTAGAGTATTGGGGCCATGCTAATAAAACAACATTTTGAGAATAAAGTCATAATATTACGAGAATTACAAGAAAATGTAAAAAATAATAATAATAATAAATAAAATAAAAAAGAGGTTTCACGAACATAAAAAATAAAGTGTTTTTCTTGTGTGTAGTGAGCCATCTCTCTGCCTGACCCATCTCTGCTCTCCAGTCCCCCCTCCGCTCCGTTAGCTGCCGCTGTGGCTCCGCGGTGTGAAACTCGGAGGAAACAGGAACAAACAGGACGATTCAGGCTTTAGTCAGTTGGACCGCTGCATGTCCACGGGCTGGGAAGAATAATCCACAGGTTCGGCAGAGATTCTGGATCTGGAAACCCCGGGACTGCAGCAGGAAGCACGGGGAACCGAGGCTAGGATTGGCTCGGTTATTTCCGTAGCGGATCCCGAAGTGAAGCAGGGAAGGAGAAAGGAAGATGGAGAGCCCCAGGTAAACTTTTCTCATTGCGTGGCAGACTCTCAGACACATTGACAAGTTGTGTGTGTTTTTCTAAAATTAAAACTACATTTCTCATTAAAGCTACAGGAACTCACTTTTAAATTATTTCTATTATATTTAATACATTTGGGATAAAAATATAAGTAAATTTCCCCGTTCATAAAGTTTTTAAACTAAAGGATAAATATAAATCTTTGGAGTCAAATGTCTCCACTAGAATAACGAGACTGGTTTGATTCCTGTTTTAGTGTTGAAAGTCATTGTAGTTTCAGACTTTATTCTCTGTCCTGAAGGTAAATTCATCCAAACGTCCATTAAAATTGTTGATGCATTCATTCATCTGTTCATTTGTCCATCTTTTCAACCGTCAATTTGTTTACATGTCCAATAATTTGGTTAAGTTTTGTCCATCCATTAGCTTCTTATGCAATTAATTTATCCAAAATTCATCCTTCTATCATCCATCTATTTATCCATGCATCTGTCCGTCCGTCCATCCATCCATCCATCATCCATCCATCCATCCATCTTCTATAAAAACTATATTATATCTGGATCTGTTTGCTTCTGTAGTTCAATATAAAATAATAATAATAATAAAAGTTGAGTTTATGAACTTTTTATCAACTTAGTTCTAATATTCTTATCTTTAGATTATATTTTCTCCGATCTGCATCAGTCCTGTGTGTTCCTCATTGATTTGCTCTTTCCCCTCTGCAGTCCTACATTTTGAGTGTGACAAATCCGTCCTGGGAAAAGTTGACCTGGGAGCCATCCGGAACCATGACCCGGCAGCTCTTTGGGTTCTCAGCCAACCGGCGCATCGTCGGTGGCCTGCTGGTCAACCTTTTCTCCTCCATCTGCATCGTCTTCATCAACAAGTGGATCTACGTCCACTACGGCTTCCCCAACATGACCCTCACCCTCATTCATTTTGTGGTCACGTGGTTGGGACTCTACATCTGCCAGAAAATGGACATTTTCTGTCCAAAAAGCCTCCCAGTGCGCAGGATCATGTGGTTGGCGCTCAGCTTTTGTGGCTTTGTGGCCTTCACCAACCTCTCTCTGCAGAACAACTCGATAGGAACGTACCAGCTGGCCAAAGTCATGACCACGCCCGTCATCATCCTCATCCAGACCACCTACTACAAGAAGACCTTCTCCACCAAGATTAAGCTGACGCTAGTGAGGAAAATCTATAGGGTTATTGTTATTGTTTGTTTGCATGTTTTAATGTATTTATAATATTGTATAAAGGAGGGTTAAGTGATTAAATGATAAATCTGCAGAATGTGCTAATTTTTTAATCGATTACAAATATAATTGCTAGTTTTGGTAATAAAAGACTGATTTTGGAAATCTGCTGTTTCCTTGATAAAACATTCACTAAAGGATCAGAGTTGTGCTTCATTTGTCCTTCCAGGTACCCATAACTTTGGGGGTGATATTGAACTCCTACTACGACGTGCGTTTCAACCTGTTGGGGATGGTTTTTGCAACACTGGGGGTTCTTGTCACTTCACTTTACCAAGTGGTGAGTAAATATCCACCCATGGATCCTCTTGAGAGCAGGAAACTAAACTGAAGTGACAGAAAAACCCTTTTTGTGTCTCAGTGGGTGGGGGCGAAACAACATGAGCTCCAGGTGAACTCCATGCAGCTTCTCTACTATCAGGTAAGAAGTCTGGTGCAGGTCGAAGGTCAGTTATTGCTCCTAATAAACAGTCCAGTTGGGACTTCTCTTATCACAACTGACTTGCAAAACTAAGCACAGCCTGCACAGTTTTTGCCCTCCATACCATGTTGATCAAAAAGAGACGCTGCATCTGGCAGCATCATGCTGAGGGGGTTTGTTTATAAAGCAGAGGAACTCCTAAATACTGGTTGATTATAGGAAGAACATTTCTGAACACAAACATTCAGACCACGCTTAGATGTTTTAGATCAAAACATATATTAAAATGGCCTAATCAAAGTCCATACCCAAATCTAGCTGCTTTACAACTATAACTGCTTTTCAGAGATGCGCTCCACCCAGTTTGGCTAAGTTTACTAAGAAGTATTTGCGAGAATTGCAGCGTCTAGACATGCAAAGCTGGTGGACACAAAAACTGAATAGCCGGAAAACAAATGCATGCCACACTTTTCAGATTTACGAAGAGAATTTTGAGAATCTGTGCATCAAGTTTTCCTTTATTTTCATATTTTGTATTTTTAAATGAATTTAATTTCTAAAAATATTTAATTTCATCATTTAAAATGTATGTTACATAATTTAATGAGACATTTATTTATTTATTTCATGATATATTTTGTTAAATCTTGTCCCATTTGGCCCTCCGTACACCTTAGGCTCCTCTGTCATCCGCCGTCCTCCTCGGGATCATCCCGCTGTTTGAGCCGCTGGCCGGAGACGGTGGGATATTCGGACCCTGGTCACTGACTGCTCTGGTCAGACATCAAACATGCTACGGCTAACGGAGCGGCTAACCCTGGTTTTTTCCTGAAGTTTTAACGTTGCTGTTCTCCCTCCAACCAGGTGGCGGTGCTGTTCTCAGGCGTGGTGGCGTTCCTCGTTAACCTTTCCATCTATTGGATCATCGGGAACACTTCGGCTGTAACGTATCCTTCAGGCACGGAGGGAGAAGGGTGGTGATGAGGGCTCAGGTATTTCAAGAGGGATTATTTATTTATCCGTCCGTTTGTTGTCCCTTGACTCCCTCCTTCAGCTACAACATGTTTGGTCATTTCAAGTTCTGCATCACTCTGATTGGAGGATATCTGCTTTTCCATGACCCGCTGTCTCTCAACCAGGTGAAGCTAACTTCCTCTAGCTCTGCTCCATGGAGTCAAACATTAATGTTCTCCTAAACTGTCTCTCTCTCTCTCTCTCTCTCTTTTTCTCTCTGTCCCTCAGGCGTTGGGAATCCTCTGTACGCTGGCAGGAATCCTGTCCTACACTCACTTCAAGCTGCTTGAACAGGAGGAGGGAAAAAGCCGCCTGGCTCAGAAGCCATAGGCTGACCTCTGACCCCTCACAGCAACTAGATGAAGAAACCTCCTTAGATGTCTCAGAATGTCCTTTAGAGGAACAAAACATTTCTTTAAAATTTTACTCTTCAGGAAGAGAAGCGGAAACAAATCGCAGCATCGCCTCGACTCGAAATCCAAAGCAGTGTTGGCTTCAAAAAACAAAATTTTTATTTTCAACAAAGATCAGGATAACGGCCTTTCAGGAGTTTTTGCACGGGCAGATTTGGGTCTGAGTTGTCTGCAGAATTTCCTGCAAATATTTGAGATTTAATTGACAAACTGGACGGTTTTAGAGCAACGGATCAACAGAAATCAGACCAAAACAAAGCATTTACCAGCCGGCCCCCCTGACGCTGCCTATTCTGCACATCGTTTGTGCTGCCACTCATCATGGGCTTCAGTGTTCATTTTAGGTATTTAATGATTTATTTACTCATATTCGCGGGTCAATTTGATTATGTAAAACAAAGACTGCCTTTTTATCAATCAAGTTTTAAGCACACAGGGTTTTTGCAAAAAAGCAAAAATACACAAATGTTAATGTTTGGTTAAATGTTTGAAGAGCAAAGTCGACTTTTTCAGATCATTAACTCCAAATACATAAAGTCTTACAAATATTTTTGTCTAGTTTCTAGTTCAAATATCTTAGTACACTTTAAATAAAACAAAACTAACTTACAAGTATTTTTTTTCGTAGCAAATAGGAGCATGTTTTAGGTCAATAATTTCTTAATATTGATGAAAAAGTATTAGTTCCACTGGCAGATTTTCACTAGTAGTTTTTCATCAATTTTAAGGAATTATTAACTTAAAATAAGATACTCTTGCTGAAAAGTTACTTGTAAATTAATTCTGTCTTACTTCAAATGTACTAAGATATTTTCACTAGAAACTAGACAGAAATACTTGGTAAGACTTTGGGGTTTTGCAGTGTTGTCTTGTTGAAACACAGAAACCCGAGTTAAGTAGGCATCTAACTATGGACTAGCTCTTGGGCAAGGTGATGGTGGTATCATGCTACAGGGCAGCACAAAATGGACGGAAAGAATAAAGATGGTGGGCTACCTCCACATTTTTTGACTTCACCTCAAATCAGCAGCTAGATGTTTGAAACTGGGACTCAGTTTGGTGAATCAGGAAACCAAACAAAACTTTACCTGCAGGAATCAGTTTTGGCTGATAACTCACTTTTTTCTTGGCTGAATTTAGCCTCAGACATTTCAGCGATGCAATTTTTTTCTTGAATGGATTCATTTCAGTTTTATTTTTACAGCAAAAAATAATCATGCTTTCATTGTCGTTCAATTTTTTCTTACCAATTTCTTTATTTTCTTAATTTAGTCTGGCTTATTATTTTATGTTTGTAGTTTAATTACATTCTGCAGTAGATTTATTTTTTATTCATTGTCTTTTTGTTTATGTTTTATTGTTTTAACATGGAATAAATTGAGTTGTAATAAATCGGGTTGTAATGTGAGAAATTGCAATATTCTGCAATAAACTGCTGAAATTATGCTGTAATTTCCTCTTGAGTTTTTAACTTCTGTAAAATTGAGTACATCTCAAAAATTAATTTTCATTTTAATTAATAAATGGTAAGAGAAAACCTTTATTTCAGGTCTTTTTAAGAATTGATATGATAAAACATATTTGTGGTCCTGAAATTAGATTTTTTTTTCCTTTACATATTAATATGTCAAAAACATAAATCAAAGATAAACTGAGTACAGAAAGTATTTTTTCAAATGATGATTTCATTAGGTGAAGAAAAGTTATGCAGCACACCAATTACTCAAAATAAAGACACAAAATTAAGGTTTTGTTGTGACCAAGTTAAAGTTTAGATTTGAATCTGATTCTGATGTTGTGTGATCTTTTCTATTTTACAATTATTTAAAAAATAAAAAAGCAAAAAAACATTTTAAAAGATGTAAGTAATGTCAACTATTTAAAAGTAGTAATAACTATAAAAAAATAATAGTTAATATATATTAAATGCGATAAAAAGGGTAATATAAAGTTTTAAATTATTTATTTTATTCCTTAGTGGGAGTGTTTGAGGAGAGAAATTGCTGGTTATAAAGTTTTATATTAGCCGCTTAGCATACAACTACAGGCGACCTTAAAAATTCCAGTTGACACAATTTAAATTTGCCAAATATATGATAAAGTAAAACATACATATATTAAAAATAAATTTGTATTTATATAGACCAATTATTTTTGCTGCCACAAAATTACCCATGTTTGTTTTATTTACTATATTTTTAATCAGGCAAAAAGTATAGTACCAATATAACAGGGTCCTTCTTTGGTTAACTTGGAAACCATTCACCGATGTTTGTTTTGGAGTCATCCGTAGGTAAAATTCATCTTTTTACAGCCACATTTCCACCGATTTGTGCCTATATCTGTTATTTTACCCTGTATGTTACTTACAGTCAACATTGCCACAGCTTAATGCGCATTCCCGGGGTGTATAGACGTCTGTTTATGTCGGTTCATACAATGCGTTAGCTAATGCTAATGCTAACTTATGAATTTCTAAACACATTTTAACGCTACAGCTTGTTAGTAGCACCCTGAAATGAAAGCACATCGACGAGTTTAGCTGTTAAGAGCTGAAGGAACTTGTCTTTTTTCAGTAAACGTGTCAGCTAAGGTCTGTGGTTAAAAGGCGGTTCGTTGGTTTGATTTCCGACTCTTCCTCACGATGCAAGTAAATGGTTTTGTCGTTAAATTAGGTTTTGAAATAACTATTTTAAAAAAATCCCTGACTTGTTACAGCTCCTACGGTTTAAATTACTTTTTTGCGTGGTAATAGTTGGTAGTTTGAAGAAATGGTGCAGCAACATTCCAGGTCTATATTATGAAGTTGAATTGAACAGAACCGTGTGGAGTTAAAATCAAATTTTTGTCTTTAAAACTGGTAACTTGTAGATTTTTTATTTTATTTTATTTTTTTATTTTTTTACAAAATAAGGAATAACTTCTTTTGCGCAGGGATTTTTAGAAGTTGTTTTAATCAGCTGTTACATGTTAGTGTGTCAGATTGCCACAAAAATGACTTATTATATTAAAGTGTAAAATTCATCTGCTCTGCATCAAATTCAGAAATACTTTATGAATCTCAAAGGGAAATTAAATGTTTTTGAGACTCATTAATTAGAATCTTTTAGAAAGGTTTTGTATATGGTGAATTATTCTTGAAGAAAAGTCATAATAAGTTAAATATTCACAATCGTTATTGGCTTTTTGAACAGTTTTACTTTTTTTATACCAATGAAGTGAAGCCCAAACATCCAGTTTGTATCTGGTTTAATTTAAGTTATCTGGTATGTTTTGACAGCACCTTAAGTTTAAGGATATTTTCCTTTTTGATTAATAAACAGTTCTCTAAAAAGGTTCAGCTCTGAAATTGGTATAAAAGCAGTGTCATTTATTAGGATTTTACTTTTTAATGACTTCAACAGATAGAAAAGTTGCTGATTTTAAGCTTCAGTTTGGTTTATGCTTCATGGTTTTTAAGGAATCTGAACAGTTTTCTATTTTGTTGAAGAAAGTTTTTTTTGTTCTCCATCCTCAGTATGCCTGCTGAGAGCAAGCCCTCAGTAAACATGGATGAAAAAGACGTCAACTCCTTCAGCAACAAAGAAAAAGAGAAGGACAAAGAGGATGAACGGAGGGCGGCATCTGCTAGAGACAAGGCTAAAGAGGAGGCGAAAGCCAGCAGTAAAAAGGATGCAGGCAAGGAGGAGAAGAAAAAGCGCTTAGAGGAGGAAAAGAAGAAGAAGGAGGAAAAGGAGCGAAAGAAGAAAGAGGAGGAAAAGCAGAAAGCGGAGGAGGATCAGAAGAAGAAAGAGGAGGAGGAGAAGAAGCAACAGGAGGAGCTGCAGAAGAAGCTCGAAGAAGATGAGGCCAAACGGCAGCGTGAGGAAGAGGCAGCGCTGCTCAAGTGAGTCATGAGTAACTTCATAATGAAGAAGAAACCGAGTGATGAGGTCAAGTTAAGTTTGGATTAATCCAGTTCATTAAGAAGATTTCATTGAGAGATTCTGGCTTTTATTTATCCAGTTTAGGAATTAAGCATAACGCAAATAGAAGCTGCTAATTTTATTATATCAACGAGTCACAAAACAGTTAAATTTTTGTTAGATGCATTTAGATCAAATCCATTAATTCTAAAATCAAAATAATGTCAGACTTTCAAATGTAAACATAAATATAACATGATTCTCCGTGTTTGGAACCAGAAGACACGGTTAAAGATCTGCAGATCTTTA